TTCTATGATTCTATGATTTTATTGATTTGAGCAAACCACAGAAGTGAAGCACCCTGGACTTCAATTTCCGCATTGTTTAAAACTGAGATCTTCCCTAGTTTAATGTTATAAAGTAATTTAGGGAACCTTTTAAAATGTTGTGTTTAAATCCATATTGTTGGGGTTTTTAGCACCCAACATTAATAATAAATAGATGATAAAATGGTTACAGTCAAATCATTCGTCCCGATGCTTCAAATTTAAAGTTCTGCGTACAGAATGCTATGATATTCTCACACTGCAAAAAATCGCTACCTTCCTTAAAGTAGTGGTTTCATGTGACTAATCATTGTGTAAAACATGGAACTGATATTTACATGCAAATCAGGGGCCTTTTGGTTTGTGCACTTTTGGTATCTTAGCACATGATTCATAGCTTTCAGGAGCAGCCCACCCCTTAGGAGTGTGGATATTAAGTGTACAGGTGATTCCACCTTCCTTTATGAAGTGTGTATAGTAATACAGATTTAACTAGAAACACTGGCATTTAGGAAACATGTATGCAATGGTTACAAAACATAACGTAATGATGAACTCAGTTTGCAAATGCCTGTACTATTTAAACTGAGTACCATTGCAGTGTCAGATTGGAAATGTGGAGAGTCAGAGCCATCTGGAAAAAATACCCCTGGACTATTCAGCCATCATTTCTGTCCAAGAGCCTTGCTGTCATGGCTACTGAAGATTTTACATATCTTAAGATTTTACACAGAGTGCCTTTTTTAGGCATCACTGTAATGGCATGTAATGAAGGCACTCATACCACCTAAATACCATCTGCTCATACAAAGCATAAGAGGATTTTACTGTTTGGGGGAAACCCTGGCTCCATGGAAACTGAAGCAGAATATCTTTAGTGACATCACTGGAGCCAGGATTGTCTGTATCTTCAAACAAATACTTTCACAGTAATTGGACCTGGAGCTGGAGATCAGTATCAGCTGATGATGGTAGAATGTTATTTGCAATAACGGTTGTGATCAGAGACAAATCTCTCTTCCTCCCCTTCCAAAGGAAACATGTAGGGAGGAACCCGCAATCTTTTCAGAAACATGTCAAGAGAAGAGCAAATGGTCAGCATAGTCAGAGGTGCAGTCCCACTTTTCACTAACTCTTTGGGGCAGAGACCATAGTGTGCTCTGAAATCACGCTACAGTGGAAAAGACAGCCTCACCAAATACCTCCAACTAATGCTGTAGCTGTCTGATACCCTCTGGGGTCATTGCCGGGGGAAAAGCAATGTGGGTAGAATATCTTTGCAGTTTAGTCATTTCAAAGTATGAAAAAGGTCTTTCGAGGCCACAAAGGCAACTGCTGGCTTCCTGAGATTTGCACCGGTTAGGTCAATGCTGGGCTAGGGCCAGAAGGTGAGGGCGTGAGGAAGGATGAAAATTTGACTTCAGACCTTCGTGTCTTTTTGTCCTGCAACCTCTCTGCATCTCAGCTGAGCCGAGAGAATTTAGCGGTGTGCCTATGCGGGACATCCAGTTCCATTTGTAATTTAAAAATATAAAATATATCTTCAAAATACATTTTGAAATTTAAAAGGAGAACCCCATTTTCAAGCACAAAACAATAAATGTGAAAATATTCTGTATCATTCTGTAATTGTACTCCATTTTTCTCCATTTGTTTTAATGACTGTGATAGCAGTCAATCAAAGAAGTCATGTAGGCAGCACATCTGCATGACACAGCTACAGAAAATAGAAGTTTAAGCTGAAGAAATTCACCTCTCTTGTGATGCTTCAAGATTTATCTATTAATTTCTTGCCTGTGGTTTCAAAACTGACAAAAGCTACCCAAAATCGCACTAGGAAATCCTCTGGGTTCAGTCAACTCTCTGATTTAGTCAGCTTTAGCTATCGCTGCCATCACCAGCCGATCTATAAATACATCTGCTTCCACAGCGTACGCATTCCGAAACTTGCCTGTTGCCTCCTCAGAAGTGCAGGGCTATCGTCTGCTCTTAGACAAGCCGGGCTTGACCAAAGCCAACATGAACCTAGCTTAACACGCCGAGCCCATGCCTTGTTGTTAGCTTTGGTAGCCGCTGCTATCATTTGATAGTTCGCTTGTAGCCAGTCCAAGTTGGCAGTGTCAGCCCAAGCTGATTGGAGCCCCAGACATTTTTGCTGACTGGAGTCATGCTATCTTTGCCAGTTTGCTGGAATAGACACAGACACTGATTGGGTCATGCTGAAAACATTCCTGTCCTATGAAGCAAGACTGTTTGTATTTTAGGTTTGCCAGGACTAATGAATTAAAAATCTTGGGCTGGCCACAGTTTGCTGCTTAATAATGCCTGTGACAGAAGGATTTTTTCCTCCCTGAAGCGTGACAGCATCATAATCCTTCATCCCTGGCAAGGAGGGGAAGGAAAAGCGGAATTGCGGAGAAAAGCGGAAAAGGTGATCTTTTGGGACAGCGAAGCCTATGGGAAGTGCAGGTAGCAGCATGTTGCCCTGACAGCTGTCTCAGCTTCTCAGACCGTGTCAGTCTGTTGCTATGCAGCAGGTGCAGCCTTTTCTTTTATTGAAGCTTTACTCCATAAAGGCAACGACAAGCCAAGGCAGTGGCTGGCCCTGGATTATACAAGTGCAGACACTCCGCTAAGTGAGGTAAGGCAACAGGTGTGAAAACTGAACTAAATTGATAGAGCTATAACAGCACTTAATCTGAGTTCTGCTGCAGATTTTTTATGGAGAAACCGCAGCCAGTTATACAGGCAATTGTTGGGAAGAAGGGAGCCGCTCATTAAATCGTGTTAAATTCCAGGTTGCCCACTCACCCTCATCTCTGTCTACAGAGATACTGTTCTTCATGCGTGGAGAAAGCAGGTGAGGAATTGGGGGCAGTCGGTCTGCGTGTTTCCTGTATCACCTCCTTTGCACACAGGCTGCTTCCATCCCTCTCTGTTGCCCTTGGTTGCTTTTTGTGATGAAGAGCTTGAAGGTTCCGCACAAAAAGGAGTGAAGGGATAAATGCGGTATAAAAAAAACGGATAGCGGGGTCATTGCTGCGTATAAAGATGAGACTTCTTTTTGTGGATTGGAATAAAATGAAAACACTCTTCCGTGTTATCACAGGATCCACCATTGCTTATTGAAGGGGTAGTGATTTTTGCCCTCACGTAGTAGGTGGTTAAAAGAGATAATTTAAAGACGTCACAGACCACAGGGTGTGCAACTGGGATAAGACAGCAGATTTACTCCTAGCAATATTGTTATGGCAACTTTAAAGCCTCTAGCAGAATGCATCATTTTAATTTCTTAGGCTATGATATGAAGTATTAAGTATACTCTTATATGGAAGACCACTTGAGATAGTAAACAAATGTCAGGGGAATGTGTACCACCAACACACAATGATGTAACAGCCTTCTTTCAAGGATGTGCTTATCGTTTAAAATCTGGGGGGTTTTTTGTTTGGTTTGGGGTTTTTTTTTTTTGCTTTACTGTGTATTGGGAGGTACGGAAGGGAAGTGTGATAAAAAATTTTGGATTATTTCTGTTGTTTTAAAAACAATGAGAAGTGTTTCTTATAAAGCAAGCATCTGGGGGGAAAAAAGAGATCAATAATGCTCAGAAGGTAAAAGTTGTTTAGTGTAATGCAATGCACTTAAAAATAGAATATTTCAGTTGACTCCAGGGATCTTTTCCTAAGTCCAAAAACATGCACTGCAGTTTAGTTGACTTTTCTTTGTCTCTGCCCAATGCTATCAGTTCAGTTTTTGTGTGTCTTGATTATTAGTAATGGGGAATAAAGAACGATCCCTGATATCCTTTATGTATTAGTAGAAAGAGACACTCTCAGCTCCAAATAATATGTATTCAAAATAATGATTTTAGAATATTTGTTGTTATTCTAAGAAAAGATTATGTCCTTCAAATAAAAATTTCTTGTGTAGCATTGCTACAGAGTAACCATATCACTCTATTAGCTAAATGTTGAGACAGATAAAGCAAATAAAAAAGAAACGCTGAAATTAATGGACCAAATGCAAACTTGATACTCTGCCACTGATTGCAAGGCAATGATGCCAGGGAAGAGTTTGATTCACTTGTGCACCACTGAGGAAGATTATAATCCTGAAATATTGTTCTGTTCTATTGACTTTCTGAGACTGCCAAATAACTATGTGTACATTACAATGAGTTGTTAGGATTTCCATGCAATACAATAGCTACTTTACTGAAAAACTGCAAGACTATTGGCTTAGGAAACTCTTTTGTTTTCACCAGCTAAATGCCGTGTTGTCTACTGACATGTGGTACAACTTTTAGTAAATTAATTGTATTTTCCTGAAGAATTTGGTTTCTAATTGACTGAGGAGTTTTTATGGTAATTTAAAAGCTACTCTCATAATTGTCCACATAGTTGGTATGGATACAATGCACTCTGGCTAGCATAGTCTTCAGTCCTAACATAATTTCTTTATGGGCAGATCTTTTGCATGCGTGAAGTCCCCCTGACTTCATGTTCTCCACACATGGAGCTAATCAGAAGATTAATATCTGTGAATTTTAGCAGCTTTGTGCTAAGTATACAAGGAGATTAAGTTTGTGTTCAGCTATTTAATAGAGTTTAACGAAAACTGCTCATTCAAAAGGTTAAATATACATGGTAAAGCTCCAAGTACAACCTCAGCGTGTTCAGAGATGCTTTAGTTATACCATTACAGGTCAGTAGTAGCTAATTCTTTTGTTGCCTAACAACTCTTTAGTGCCCTGCTTGAAATGAACTAGCAGTTTTCTTAACGGACAGGGTTTCATCTCAGTAAAACCACTTTTTGGAGTTGGTGGTCTCAGAAGAAAGACCGAGGACTGAATAAGGTCCCAGTTCGGGAGTCAAACCCATGCAGACAGACCCCGACACCTGGACAGAGTTCCACTGAAGAATCACCACCAAGGTTTGGAGACCCAGTAACTTTCTGACCATTAAGTGTGTGACTGTCAGGCACAGTTTGACTGGGGGAGTATGGGTGGAAGGTAGGAGGATGGGTGCCTCCTCATTGACACCATGTGGAGTGGTGTGCACGTTTCCAATCACATGGCAGACTTGGGGTCATGTTACTCTCAACTCCCCACCCCTTCTTCCTTCTTCACCTTCAGAACCAGGCAGCATTGCCACGAGTCAAGGCTTGCTGAAGGGGCAATGGCGGGGAGCAAGCAGGTGAGGAGAGGGGAAGCTTCCTTTGCCATTGTTCTTTCTAATCTGTAAATAGCAAAAGAAAGGCAGTCTCTGCACTGAATTTCACTTAAACTCTTTTTAAATGGAAAAGTGAAATGGCATTCAAATGGCGCTCAAATGACTTTGATTCTAAACGTTGCTTAGCTAGAATGAGAAAGGTAGCTGTGAATGCATGAAAAGCATTAAAACTCATTTGTTGAATGGTGTCACATGCTCTGTAATAAAATATATTTTTTGTGTTATTGCAGCTGGAACAAACAAGTAAAAGCATTGACTCAAGTGCCCACATGATCACCACCGCCAGGGTACCTGCTGATAAGCCAGTACGAATTGCCTTCAGCCTGAATGACTCCCCAGGTACAGTTTAATTTATGGAGTAAACCACAATGAAATAATTGCTTTTAAATTTTACGTGTTCTTACCAGTGTTTACAGTATCAAATGAAGTCCAGTGTTATGGCTCTATTTTTTTCCCGAGCGACACCATGTGATCAGTTTTCCTGTCTGATAACTTTTAATATTTCTATTAACAATTTCATTAGACTAAAACCACTAGACTGACAGTTTAGATCTTAGCTTTATTTCAGTAGTTTGTGGAATATACTTAGGACTGTAATTAACTCCTGAATCTACTTGCATACGCAGTATCTCTGATTTTAAGGAATCTTAAAACAAGAAAAGTGAAAGGACATTTTGTGCTGAGGATGAGGCTAGAGCAGGAAGGTTGGAAAGTGCCGCACATGCCCAGCTTGGTGAAAGGTTTCAGGAAACGGATGCCCCACATGGCATGTTCCTTGAGAAAGCAGCAGAAATTTCATTGATGTTTATCCTGCCAGCTAGTGCTGATTGACCATTAATTTCCCCAAACATATCCTGTACATGCGTGGACCCTTTGGCCTTTGGAATAGATGAATATTATTACTTTGCACCTTAAATATTATTAAGGTCTAGAGAGCTGTTGCCAAGCAGTAAAAGTCAGAATGGAATAAAGTAGATCCTAAGCTGGGAAGCATCCCCAAAAAAGTTGTCTGTGCTGTTGCTAAAGGTGAGTGTCTGGAGTCAAGGTTCAGATGTGTTTATGGCATGAAACAGAAGGGTCTTTGATAACGATAAGTGAAACCCACTGCTGATGAATGCTTTATGGGACGGTATGCATTGTAGGTTAACGTGTGAGGCTGCTTCCTGAGTTTTGTGTGAATAGAGTCTCAGCTTGAGTATAATTTTCTTATTTTAAAAGTATTTTAGAATATGCTTTGTCTTTCCTAGCTAATTGTTGTGTAATATTAATTGCAGCTAGAAGCCTGATATAGAATCTCATTCCCTAAGCAAGGGAATTTAAAAACAAACATCTTCATATATTATTGCACATAACTCTCATCTCATAAAGATTAGTGATGCAGAAAGATTGGGACAAGGAATACAAAGAAGTACATGTGGCTATCTATGTGCCCTTTTTTCATACATTAAAATAATCTGGTAATTACATTTTTATTACAGAATGTAATAAGGAATCATTCTCATGTCTCAAGATACAGTAACACGGTAAATTTCTTACAAGAATTATGGCAAAGATAGGTCTTGAGGAGAGATGTAAATAACGGGGAGTGTTCTTACAAATTACGGAAAAAGAATGCTTATGTGAGACACTGAAAACAAGTCAGGGAAAGCTGAGACCATGGGAAAATCAAAGAGGGTAGAGTGGTTTGTGACAGGAGACGGCAGTAGGAAATGACAAGGTTGTGAATAGCTTGGAAGAAGAGGACATGAAAGGCAGGAAGCCTAACTTCCTTAACATTGCATCATATTTTATTTTTTACTTTTCTATCCTGCTAATAGTTCCAGCCTCTGTCTTAACATTTAGAGAAATAAACTCGGTTACAGAAAGGTAATCTTTTTCTGCTACATTTTGTTAAATTTTTTTCCATAATTTTGAGTCCTATATTGTATATACACGAGTGTTCCTGCAGTATGCAATCCAGAATCTCTCAGAGTACTGATAAAACTAAACAGCAACCAGGAAAATGAGTTCTCCTCTGCATCACATCTCTTTGGGGGTTACCAGGAGGTCTAACCAGCTTACTGTTTTATCACATCACAAGAATTCCACTCTTGCTCTTAGTGGTAAGCCTGAACATGGTTGTTATATTTGATATATTTTACAAAGGCAGAAGACATAAACTTATATTTGGTTTGAAAAGGTCTGAAAACTTCCAGCAAACCATAGTTGAATCAAGAGAGTACAAATAAGTATTTAACTTTTTTTTTTTAAGATGAGCTGCAAAAAAAAATTAACAGATAGACCTTTAGGTATTCCATACTTGGCTTTTTTTTCTCCTTATTTTTTGATATTTCTTTACTCTTCTTTTCTCCTTGACAAGGATATGTGGTTTCAGTTCAAACAGGAGTTACCTGCTGTAAGTGTGACAGTAAAGCATCAGGTAAGGCTTGTGTACTGCCAGGGTATATACAAAAAGGTCTTCAGCAGGGCTAAGTGGTGAGGGAATCTGTCTGACTTAAGCTTTTGCTTAAATTTTACCTCACTTGAAAGGCACAGTGACAGATTTCACCAAGAAAGGCTGCATTCTCCTTCCGGAGGCTGTACAACTGCTTACTAGGAGGAACTGGCAACATAACTAGATATAAAAAGGGGAAATGGAATGTTTCTTCTGGGTGGTGATTATCTCACTGGCTAGGATTGTCACCAAGCTCTGGGTGTGAAGAGCAGCGAAAGGAGAAACTGCTCTCAACTCATGAGAAAAGATTACTTTGTGTTAACTGACCTACAAGACCAGAGCTGGCTTATCCTGATTGTACAAGAAATAATTTAATTGTGTTTATATTATTTGTCAGTCAACACCTGATGACTGAAATCCTGACCAGCGTTGTGCAGTATTTTTGATGTGGAAGTAGGCTAACCCGTTCCTTAAAAGTCTCAGGAGCAGCCCATCAGCAGGTGCTATATAAGATGACAGTTTTATTGTGTATCTCTTATTCCTGTATATATAGATATCTATGTTTGGCTCTTTTACTCAAGTTCGCTAAGCTGGCATCAAACATAGGTTTCTCAGGGTGTGTCTGCACACCGTATTGCACCAGTTTGACTTAAGGTACTGTTTTAAATTAATTTGAAACATTATTTCAGCCTATCTTATATCACTTGGAAATTAATGAGAGTTAAACTGAATATGGAGTTCCAAAATTTAAATAAGTGTTCCCAAATAGAAAGTTCATTGTAGTTTATCAATAACAATTTAATTAAACCAATGAAATTCAATATGTCCTAATTTGTATTATTAACTCTTATTTACTAAATATATTAAGATAGAATGATTGTAACAGGAGCTTTATTAATTTTAGACAAGTGAATTTCTTTTGTCTAATAGTTCTACGGGAAGGTTTATAGCTAAACATCTCTTCACTCTCTTCTCTCCTAGAATAAAAGCTTGAATCTAGCTGAAAAGTTCTACTAGTGACATGTGGTGATAAATGACTGGTTTTGAAATTATTAGTAATTTCTTTTGCTTGAAATTAGGCGACCTCTGATAGCACTATCCAGAAAATTCACTGACAACAAAGGCAAAATATACAACTTCTAATGAAACTGACAGGCAGTGAAAGAGTGGAATATTTCTGCAAGCCTAGTAAATGAATTATTTTACTCCTCTGTATGCTTCTGTTATCCTAGTGACCATGAAGATTTTTTTGCTTCTATAGTTGATCATGCAAGACTGTTTTGCAACGGTCGCTTCTTCGATAGCAACTTTCAAATCCCTACTTCATCCTCATTTTGGTTGTAATGGCAACAGAGGCTTTCCAGCAGATAATGTACTGGTTGAAAACCAGTGGGGATTCCTAAAATATACAAAGCTAGTTTCCTAAAACTACACCCCGCTCACAAGTAAGTGGCTTGATCTTTGGCAAGTTAGACAGGAACTTAGGCGAGATACCCTCAGAAAGATAGTGTTTGTGCATTGATCAGAGGATGCTTTAGGCTTAGGTGAAGGTAATATGGAGTAGGAGGGTTTTGCTCCTATCTCTTCTGTTACGGTCCGTTTCTATTTTTGGAAGGTCCACAACTCTTATTATTGAGCAAGCCTTCATAGCCTATTCCTGGGTCAGGCAGTGACCATTCCCCCCTGTTTTACGAGTGAGGTAACTGCAAGGTTGTGTAAGGTCACGTCAGGCAGGGCTGTGAATAGAAGCCCAGGAGCTTCACGCAGCAGTGCCAAGTCGCAGTCACTTAGCCACACAGCCTTCCAGGACAAATTCGATGAGTCTATGCTTGTCGGTCAGTAACCAGGGCTGGAGCTGCTGCACCTCACTGCCCTCCGAGGGCCAAGACTGGACCCCGATACACAGTTTGCCAGCGTTGCCCCACTGCGAGTTGCAGTGCTTGCAGTTGAGTTTGAGCACTTCTCCTGTGTAAGGGCTGATCCGCTTACAGGATAACAGCCTACTTATGTTACCAATTTAATTCTTTAATTTAAGAGGAAGAGATCTGAATACACTTGCCCACGCATGTAGGAGAAGAAAATAGTACCTGATTGTATAATTAAAGACTGGATCATAACTCAGTTACTCAAGGAAGCAGAGCTGTGACTGGCATTTCCTAAATTTCGAGTGCTTGATTTAGCAACCTTAATGTGCTTTCAACACATCTAAATTTTTATGTTCCAATTCTGTCTTTGTGAAGATCCTAGAGAAATTGTAATTTGTGAGTTTATACTGCACGTAAATCAGATGTTGTTCTCTAAAGTATTTATTCATGAACTACTACCCATAGCCCCCAGTTCAGCTAAATGGAGCAGCCATGTAGGAAGCGACTGGGGTGTTACGCTTCATTGTACCAGACGTTGTGTCAGTCAGGCAGTGAAGTGTGAGGGGTTTCACTCGTTCATCTACATAATGGAGGTCTGGGCCATTGCAATCTGCGGAGGTCTGGGCTATTGCAATCTGCAGAAGGCCAGAACGTGATTAAATAAGCAAAGCTTTTCAGAAAGCATGATTCATTCTCAAACATGCCATGTCAGCATATATCAGGGCGCCGAATGCATCAAGACATCACTGATAAGTAGTAAGCCTTTTGTGTGAGGACAATCAGTCTTAATACACTTCAGCCTTCTAAATCAGGTGGCTTGTGTGGATCTCTGTACCACACATTAGAAGCCTATCTCACGTTTGTATTAATAGGCAGTATCAACGGAGAGACAAGAGCTCACCCGGACAGTGAAGGTTGAGCAGCTTAGCCTTGCTGCACTCACACAAAGCTGTCCATCCTGCCATTTCAGCATGAAGGTGCGTTGGCTGGGCAGCATGCTTGGGGAGCTGGTGCTTTAGTTATGTTGTTAGTTTTGCTGTAGGAATGGCCAGAGACCTGGCTCTGACATAGAAGGGTACTTCATCTTGGCCCAACTAATGGAAAGCAAAAGGAGGAAGTGATTTCCCCGGAGACCCTCCCTCAGATGCTCTCTGTTACGAGTTTTCAGCAACAAGCACAGCAAATGTATGAACCTAATGAAATAAACATGAAAGTTAAACTATTCCATACACATGAACCAAGTCTTTGGTTAAAAAACCATCAACTGTGTCTGCAGAGAGTGCATCTTTTAATCAGGGTACAGGTCTTTAGTGCACTTTTAAATGTAGACCTTCAAAATTAGTTCTGGGATCTATGGGAAATCAGGAAGTGCTGCTCATTTAGGAAGCATGCAACAGATACTTTAACTTAGGTGGCTGTGATGAAGTTCCTGATCTGGCCCTTTCCCGTGACAGATTAGTGCTGCTGAGTTTGCTGGGATGGCCATAATATTCATGTGTATGTTTTTGCTCCTTTCTTATTTTCTTCTGACCAGAATCTTGACTCATTTTCAGGTGCAGCAAGTTGCAGTCTCTGATTTTTTGTATTTTTATTTTTAAACAAAACATGTTTTCAACAATCATTTTGAATTATAAAACCTTTTTCTTTACTAGTGACAGGGAAGGGAGCAGTAAAATAGTGACCACAGGGGTGAGGTGCTGTTTGTATCTGGTGAGGAATCAGCCTAGTTATTTTCAGGGGTTTGTGGTACAGAAAAGCCACTAACTTTATTATAAGGCGGGTCTTTGATTATATCAGTGATTCCTTAGAACAATCTAGTCACTCATTAAATATTGATAGTAAATTGAGAAAAGGAGAAAGATATTTCTGAATTCTGTTGTCTAGTTAAGGAGATGTAGAATAGAAAAGAACAAATACAGACAGATAAGGAGATAGTTATGAGAGCGTTTTGATCTTCAAAACATTTTCTTTGACATTTCAGACATTTTCAGTGCTTCTGGTTTTCAGTCATAGATTTTTTAAGGCTAGAAACCAATGCAATTTTGTCTGATCTCCTGCATAACATCCAGTATTCAAACTTATAAGGGCAATAGTGATTGTTTTGGAAGAAAATGCAAGAGTTTATATCTTTCCTCATGACTTTCTGAAAACATCCTCAAAAATGTTTTAGGAGGCAAATGACTGCTGTCATTTGCTTTCCCCTTGTGTGAAATCTAAATGTGTTTAGTTTTTACCAAGGGATTTTTGTTGCTATTGTTGTGGTTGTTAGTTTGACAACAGTGAAATACAGACTGACCCGATGCAGTAATGTATTTCACGGGAAGCTGTGGGGAAAGTTTTTTGTTGTTCTTTTTGTGGTAAACAAGATTGCAGTTAGCTGTGAGGTTTTCTGTTAATTTTTATAAACTAAATACTTCAGCTGAAAGTTTCAGAGGAGCCTAAGAGAATTAGGAACTCAGATTAATTTCAACCCCCCGAAGTCCCTAACTTTTCTTGATGATGTTCTGCACATCAGATGATGATTTAAACAAGTCTTAAACTAGCATAACTAAAAAAAACCCTAGCAGCTGTTCAATAGATGCTAGGGCAGGCCCATTATAAAATGTACTATGGTATGCCATAATGGTTAGGATACCAATATGTTCTATTTTTAGTACCATTGACTCAGTCACTTGAGTTCAAAAAATAAGCAGGGAACATCTGTTTATTGAAAGGATTTCCTCTATAGTAATTTCTCTCTCTACTCTATCATTTTAAAAGTATTTCCAAACTTTTTTTAACTGGTTCTTTACTGAAGATAATCCAATATCTTTTCTAATATTCTGACACTACATTAATTTTTTTTCTTATTAATATCTGATGCAGTGAGAAAGTAATTATTGGCTGATGTTTCTTTAAAATTCTTGGGGTTGCTTTTGCTATGTTTTTCTTAAGTTAAAATTGTTGGAGGTCCTTCCTTAAAGCTACTGCACCCAAGATTGTACTGCTGAAATTGTCAAAACAAATAGCAGCTTAACTGCTGTCCACGACTCTGGTCCAATATCTCTGTCAGAATATTTAACAGCTATTCAGCCAAATATTTGTAGAGCAGCTGTACCCCTAGTCGGACTGAGTCCTATTCCACCCTTCCTTTTAGCCTTGCCATATGATTCATCTTTCTTCTTTTAGAATATTAGTCTATTTTTAAATATTGTACAAGAAAGCAACAGCAAATTAAAGGTAAACACTTGCATATCAACATGATACAATTCTATATAATTAAAGCAATTTCAGTATTTTCTAGAATGGACATGTTCAGGACATGGTGTGAAAAATGAAGTTGGGGGGGAGCGGGTGTGACTTTTTGATAATACTAGCAAGACCCCTACCTCATTAAAGTATAGAACTTCACTCTGTTTCCTGAGGAAACAAAAAGCTTTTGCTTTTGCCCTCTGTATCACTGTATTTTTTTATCTCCCGTGGGCATCCCTTCCTGGAGGTGCCCAGCTCCAGCTATGTTAGTTAAAGTAAGGCTCTGACTGTATGTTAGCCAGTATGTTTATTCTTCATAGGATAAAGTGACTTATTTTACTTTTTTGCCCTAACCTGCTTTGCTGTATGACGACTGAGGGCAGGATAAAGAGATAACAAATATTTGACACATAATTTAAATCATAGTCTCTACTCTTTAAGAATATTCCAAATCCTGCTTTGATATGTGGTCCTCTTAATCTTGTTGGGGTTTTGTTGTAGTGTGCAAGGCTGCCAACATAGAGCATGTTGCGGGATCTGACCTATGTTAGCAATTTTCTCCTATGAGAGCCATCCTTGTTTAATTTTGACACATTACAAATAACTGACTCTGTAAGCTAGCTAATAGTAACCTTCTCTTCACCTCCCGTAACCTGCAGTAAGATGCATAAACAGTCATCACAATCCAATGCAAAACTGATAGTGTGAAAGTCACTGAGAAAGAAATATTGCAGCGGCTAGCTGTGACGCTACCAAGTATGATTCATATTTCTGATCTCAGTCCAGCTACTAGTGGGCAGGTGTCCACATCACAACAGTGACGTAACTGTCACAGTCTGTCCCACCTTTGCTGGAAGCCTGTACTAAAAATAAAGAAATAAATAAAAACACAGTTTGGCTTGTTCCCATGAATGAAGTAATCCCATAAGGATTGTTATCTGCAGGTTAGAGTAAAGAAATTTCTTTCCAGTACAGAACAATGTTTGGTGTCTTCCCCGTTCTAATCACATCTGTGGAGGTAAGAGTCTTCTAGTTCCAGGGTTGCCAGGCTGGTTTGTGTTGCCTTTGGGTGGTGGGAGAAAAGATTTCTGTTATTGCTGGTTTACCCCTGGTAAGTCATTGTATTGTGATGGGGAAGAGACCTTTCCCTTCGTTCAAGTAATGAACTCTTAGGTAGTAAGGATGCCGTCCTTGGAAGGTTCTTTACTTTGCAGTGTAATGGAGAGCTCAGGAAGAAAGATTGCTTGTCTTTATTTTTTTTATTAAATTATCACATGTTCTACTGCTCTAACTGGCTTTGTTTTATTTCTTAATCACTGCAATACAAAATAGGCTTTCTGTCTTTCCAGCACTTAAACATTTTCTCATTAGAACCCACTGGTGTTTTCAAGGAGTCTATTACAGTGTCTCGTGTGTAGAAAGATAAGCAAATGCGGAGGTATCTGCAGGATCACGATATTATTGTGAATATATGCAGTGTAGAACTACATTAAACAGATCATCTGAAATGCCCTTTTTGATAAACATTGACTTTTAACATCATGTTTACCTTTTAGATGATGCTTCTTCTGAAAACTTCCCTTTGGCATTTCCAGAACTAGATCAGCAGCTGCAGGTAAACTTTTTTTTAAACTACAGTCCTACTGCACATTCACTAGTTTTGTCATGATAAAAAAACTCTGGTTGTTACACTAAGGTGAAATTTTTCAGTGGTGCTTCCCTAGCCTATTAACGTTTGATAAGACTGTATATTTCCGTAGAAGAAAACATTGTCTTTTCGAGAGCTGCAGAAAAATTGTTTTGATATTTTTAATCCAATTGCAGGGAAATTACTGTTTTAACAATCTCACTTGCTTTTAAATCTTTTTTCTGCAATTCCTGTTCAAAATACAGCACATACTGCTGCACTGCAAATGAAGAGAGCTCTTGTGGTTTTGAAGGGAGAAGGAATGAGCCAGGTACTACACTCTCATGCCTACAGGCTGTGCTAAGACTAGTATGATCAGTTTCCTCTGAAGCATTCCAAGAGAATGCAAAGGTATATTTTGTAGTGCCATCTTATCTGTAATCTTGGGTAACTGAAGCCAGTCATCAGGATTGATGAGAGCCTCCTCAAAGGTACCCTAGTTCATGCTGCATAGCCAGCAACCCTAATGGTTGCCCTAGCAGGTGTCTTGCAGACAGCATGGGATAGCAGTGGTGAATCCTTTTGTGACCAGTCCGATTTGTCAGCGTAGCACAATGGAGCCCCGATACACTGGACAACCAGGTGGCAGTTC